TTTTTTCTAATCCAAGCCTTTTACCCTTCTCTAGCTGTTTGAATTGAAAAGTTAAAAAAAAAAAAGGAAAGCAAGAAAGCATTCACTCAGTGTTATAGTATACATTTTGATTTAAGAATGAAATCTAACCTATGATAACTCAGGTGGATTTACTTGTTGCTTTTTCCATGTAATACATCTATTGAATATATGCTGAATATCTCTCTTGCAGAGGCAAGAAGTTAGGCAGAAGAAGGCTCAGCTGGAGGCAGAGCAGAAGGCAGCTGCTGCTGCAGATGAACACAGGAAGCAGTTTTTAGATACATTTTGATTTAAGAATGAAATCTAACCTATGATAACTCAGGTGGATTTACTTGTTGCTTTTTCCATGTAATACATCTATTGAATATATGCTGAATATCTCTCTTGCAGAGGCAAGAAGTTAGGCAGAAGAAGGCTCAGCTGGAGGCAGAGCAGAAGGCAGCTGCTGCTGCAGATGAACACAGGAAGCAGTTTTTAGAAGATGAAATGAAGGGTGCATTAGAATTGTCTGGAAAGCTGCAGGAAGAAGATGGCTATCTTGGTAAGCATATAGAAAGTGCAGGTTTCCTGTGTTTCAGCATACTGGATATTGATGTGAAGACCCAGATTCATGAACTGAAGACAAATTAGGTGTCTAAGGTTAGGGGTAAACTCAGGTCTAACTCCTTTACTTTTATAGGTACTTTTTGGGACTATCCTTTCATGAACCCAATATAGGAGGGCAGACTTGTAAAGGAGTCTCAGTTTGGTACCCATGAGATGCAGCCATATAAATGATCGTGTCTGGAAAATTAGCTGACCATTCTGTATAGCTATAACACTTCTGTATAGTGTTTTGATTCTGGTTGCCAGTGATTCCTTCATGCATCTCCAAAACTTAAGATAATTTTCCTCCCAGTTTGCTGTTTTGTAATATTTTCTGGGTACACAAAAGAACAGAGGATGTACAGTAGTTTGCACTATTTTTTATTTAAATCAAAACAGAAATCTCAAGCTGTAACTCTGTTTTCAACTTGAAAATAGCTACAGTTTGGGCTTCCCATGATAGATGTACAACAATTTTCCATAGAAAAGCAAGCTCACTACCAGCAAGCAAATTTGCTGTGTGTGTTTGCAGAATTTAAAGCATTCACTTCCAGGACTGGCCGGTACATTCTTTTTGAATGGCATTCTTCTTTGCGTGGTTTTATAAAGATTTTTCCCATTTCCCCATCTCTCAAAGGCACACACAGGACTGTGTGAAATGATTAGTATTGCTTTGGGCAAAGTTATTCAGACATTGCCCTAATTTGCCTAATACTTTAATATGGAGTAAATTGCAGCTGCCTTATTAAAAAGGGTGTCTCCTATTAAAACTCCAAGTATGAGTAGCCATATTCTGCTTGAAGTTAGTGACCATCTGTTAGAAGGTTGATTAATTATATAGGAAGAAACAGTAATATAGAGCTGTAATTTCTTAAAATGAAATACAGTGATGTATGGTTTTGGTCCATAGACTGAAATAGTTGACTTTGGATTCTGAGCAAATTGGGCTTGCCATTAGCTGAAGCAAGTGATTGTTCCAGCTTTGTTTCCTGGAAAAGAAATGCTTCACCGCAAGCTAGAAAATATATTAGAAAAAAGAACACAATTTACATAGAAGCCTTCTCTGCATTTGTCACAGAGAGACAGTGTGATTTAACGGCCGGACCTACAGAGACAGGTTTAGGATTGCAGCAGGTGCCAGGGTCTGGAAACGTCTGTCTCAATGATGTATCCGCCTCAGAGTCATCGTCACGTGGTAAGTTTCTAAGTTAGGACCTTCCTTCTTCTCGTGTCGAAAGTGTCCTGAACACCTAGGTGGCTGACTGAGTCATTATTAACCGCGGGGTGTTTAGTGGACTCTGAACTATTTATTGCTGTTTTCTGTTCCACACCTGAAAACAATCTGTGTGCTGCCAGGAACAGAACAGGTAGGAAGTGCCTGAAGTGTGTCCCATTATGGGAATATCCTCACGCTAGGTTAGTCCCTGTCCTGGTCATTTTACATGATGCTTTTTTTCTTTTAATAATTGTCTATGATTTGGGGATGTTGAGAAGATGGAGAACTGTCTTGCATCTTACTGAGAGTTATAGTCAGGAACTAGTCTAGAATTAAATGATTCTAGAGCCAGGTTGTCCTTGCCATTAGGGCCAATGTGCATTTTAAAATCATATGTATTTTATGTACGAAGCTCTTTGCAAGGGGAAACATGTATCTTTTGACCTGTCACAGTATCTCCTCAAGATCTGACCTTCCTGTGACAATAAACAGAGCAGCCACGATACCACTTCCAAAACACTTAGGGAGAATTACTCTTCCCTTTGCAGCTCTGAATACAACTGCACCAAGGGAGAAAACACAGTGTTTCCATGCAGAGGTTGTTTGTTTTCCAGCAAGAGTTCATGATAGCTTTGCAAAACTGCTAGCTGAAATACTAACTCTGTGTCATTTGCACTTAGTGCCTTTAGGAAGAAGGCGAGAAGAGCTGGCGTGCAAAGAGAGGGAGCTGATGTTAGAAGTGAGGCAGCTCAGAGAAAGGCTGACTTTGCAGGCTCGAACTAGACGCTCCCCAGCTTGTTTAGCAGCTACAGAGTGGACTCCCTGAGATGGTTTGCTCTACATTCAAATCAATCAGTGAAACTCTAAACATGTATAGTGCGATCAAGGTCTAATCATAGATTGTTTGTTATGAAGGTTTTTGGAAATATTTTTATATGAAAATAAAATGCAAGGTAGAAAAACGTGTGGTGTTTGCAGCCTTCTGTTTTTTTTTTAAATAATTGTAATTACAATTTTTTTCCTCTAAAATAAATTCATTTTCTACTATTAAATTGTTAATGGTATTTGTGTACACAATCTGTTCAGGTCAAAACAGTGCCCCAAAAAAAAAATAAAAGGCACTTAAACTATTGCATTTGCTAGTGATGTTTAACTGGAATCTATGAGCTGCAGCAAGGAAGTTTACTGCTAGAGAAAAGCCTTGAAAAGCCTTCACAGAGAGAGTGGTCAGGTACTGAAAAGGGGCCTTGTTTGGCTATAGGAAACTTGCCAACCTGGGCTTTGTAAAGGAGGAAACAAGGTGGACACAAGGATTCTTTTACATAAGGAAGACAAAATGTTCCAGGGAAGTGGATTTGGGGAGGAGCAGTGAGGTGAGCAGAGAAGAGAGGTTTTAGAGGGGCTGATCCCGGGCTGCCTGACGGAGCCTTGCCCTGATCAGCCCATCTTCTTCCAGAATCTTCTCACCCATGTTGCTATCAACTCCCTTCTCACCCATCTTTCTGTGTCACCTCACAAGTGGGCGAGAGGGGGCCTGGTGGTGGCTGTTGGTGGGACCTCGGGGTGCTCGGGCTGTGTCAGGAAAGGCCACACAACTCCGTCTGGAAAGGCACAGTAAAATAAAAGGAATCGTTCAGGATCACCACCCACAACACTGATGCGGGAGAAGATCCACCGTGTGAAGCGGTACAAGGACTCGGGCCTTTCAGTCTGATGCACTAAACTTCTCAGTGCGTCTCCATGCTGTCCCGCTCCTTCGAACCTAACTAGCTTTTCCCTTCATTTCGAGAAACGGGATCCTGGATTTCCACAGATTGATATCATTATTAGTGTCCTCACTGCTGGAGTCGGCAGCCAGTGGTAGTTAAGGGAAACCACAGGAAGGGCAGGCAGGATCCTTTGGGAAAAATCTTGGTAGAATCTGGGGAAGACGCATTTTCCCAAAGAGCAGAAAAACTCTAGGCAAAGATCTTTGCTGGAGATTATAGTGAGTAACTGATGCAAAAAAGTGCCTATTTTCCAAGGCCTGCAGCTGCTTGGACTTGATGTGTGGTTATTTGTGTATATTTTTGAAAAACAAATTCCTTGGCTAGCACCTTGGGCCATAGGTACTGCTGAAACGTGCAGGTGTCGGGGTGCACAAACCAGAGCGCTTTTCCTGGAGGAAACCGCTGCTTTTTTGTGCTTCTGCAGCAGTTTGTACTGGCCTGCCCTGTTAGTTAACGTGGCCAGACTGCACCTCTGACCTGCCGGGACACTTGGTTTTCACTCAGTAGCCCTCTGGAACGCAGGAAGCAAAGGCCTGTGAGCTGGAACTGCCTCTTCATAGACCACACATCAAAAAATAATCAATAAATAACGCGGTTCTGCGGTGGTTCGCGCAGTATCGCCGCGTTTGGGAGCTCGGATTTACCATCCGTGGTGCGGAGGCCGCCCTGCCTCCAGTTTGGGCCAGGAGAAGGGAA